CAATTCTCTTCAACACTGACAGCCATGGTTACTCTTCTTGATCTTTGCAGTTTTATTCGATACAGCAATGCTTCGAGCTCTTCTCTCGTCAAAAGCGAAAGAGGAATAAGAATAAGAGTAAGTGCTACCGCTGGACAAGTGACCGTTGGTATTTTCGACGCTTGTCACACAACAACATTATCTGTTTCACGCTGTTGTGTGTCACGCAGTAACTTGCGGCCTCACGTCCGTCGATAACAAATTCATATAAATAATCTCACCCAAAGTCCTGCATTGGAAAACAGCAGATGCTGTTTCGATGCCATCATTTTGGATCTTGGATTGTAATTGGATTCCTACTCCCTCGAACCATTCCCAGGCAAATTTTCCCTCGCCCCAGCCCTCCACAATTACCAAATCCAAGATGGCGACCTTCGAAAATGTGCACTCAACAACAACAATAACTTTATTTACTCGTACGGTTACAGTTTTTTTATATCAGTGAAATGTAAAGGCAAAGAAAAAAGTGTATTATATGAGTCTGGAGACTGACGTAACCAAGGGTTTTTTTCGCCAATATGCAGGCTAACTTTTTGCCGCTATTGACGCCACCGGAATAATCTCTTGTCAGTACTCATAGAATCCTTTGGCTAATCATAGGCAGCAAGGGGAGCTGTAGCACCCTAAACGAAACTTTATGAGGAGGAGAGGCCTCAGCCCCCCTTCCCACACGTTTCGGTGCCGAAAATATCGCCAGCGGAGAATAAATTCGGTTTGACAAAATATTCCGTTTCGTGACCTGCCCGAAGTACGTCAGGTTAAATATATAAGAATCATTTGCGGAGCTCTCAACAAAACTCCTGTCACCAAAACGCTACTAAGAGAGGTCCACAAAATGTTAAGGTTGTATTTGCCATTACCTGTGGCATTGGCGACTTCCGAGCGCACATTTTCTGCCCTACGAGGACTAAAAACCTATCTTAGAGGCACCATGAAAAAGGATCGTCTAAACAACTGCCTTCTCCTGCATTGTCATAAGTCTTTCACTTATCGAAAAGAAGTTTGTTTGTGCAAACGGACGACGCAAAAGACATTTTGGAAAACACGAGTAGAGGTATGCGCTTGGCTTAACGATGAGGTCGATGAGCACCGCCATGTTTCAAAACGCCAAGCCGTCTCTGCTCATTCATAAATCAGGGGACCTTGTTCAATCAGGATTCCAGATAAGCCAGCATTCAAGTGGACACAGTTTTTCACTCTACATACCCTACTTGACAAGCAGCTACAGTACGGTACGGGTCCGCAAATGATCCCAGCACTGCAGATGATCCCCAAAATGGACCCCAAATGATCCCGAACCGGAAATGATCGCCATATTGGACCGTAAATGATCCCGACCAAAACTGTGGAATGGCATGGATTTATATCAGAGGAAGCTTAAATAATGGCTTGCAACAACCGTTATCCAAATGGACTTGGATTGAGGGCAGGAAATTTGATTTCTTTGCAATTTTAAAATTAT